CCTTCTAATATCTTTTGTCTTCTCCTTCAATTATCACCTAAAACTAGGGCCTGAGTGGTTCATTTCTCCCCCAACTCAATCATTAGTATCTTGGCTGATTTCCTCACTTATGCAGAGATTTGTTCTTCAAAAGATATATCCAGGAGATGAGACACAGTAGGTCAAAATTAATGTCAAGAAACAGAGCTTCTTAATGTCCTAATTAAAAAAAAAAAATCTGGACTTGATAATGTCAATAAAGCCCATTGCTTTCTTAAACAGTTTGCAGCCAACAACACTGGAAAATTTTTATTGGTTTGTTTTGTATAGTCCATTTTTTGTTGTTGTTTTTAATCCTCACCTGAGGATATTTTTCCCATTGATTTTTAGAGAGAGTGGAAGGGAAGGAGGGGACAGAGAGAGAGAAAAAAAGAGAGAGGTGAGAGATACCAATTGGTTGTGTGTTTGTATGTATCCCAACCAGGACCAGGAATCAAGCCTGCAACCCAGGTACGTGCCCTTGACTAGGAATCAAACCCACAACCCTTAGGTGCACGGGCCAATGCTCCAACCACTGAACCACACAGGCCAGGGCTGTATAGTCTATTAATCTGCAAGAAATGAAATACATGCCTTTTAACTATAACTTCCTTTCACCCCTATGGGTCTTAATATACATGGGTTGACACACACATCAAACTAACAGTTTACTTCTAAACTCTCCTTCTTCTGAGAGGAGAAGTGCTGGTCCTGATGAATTCTACAGAACCAGCTTTCCTCTCAGAGAGAGGGAGCCAGGCCACTGCAAACATGCGTTGGGTGAAAACAAGTTTGGTTGGCTCAGACAAAGGCTTATTTTTTAAGCACAGATGGTGGAATGGTTGCCTCCTCCAAAAGGTTTGCCCGCCCTGAAAGACAGATTTCTATTTCTAATCTATGCAAATCTCTCTCTCTCTGTGGGCATCACAAAGACGAACTGTTTGGTGTCAGACACGGCAGGTCCCAGGTGCTCGCAGAGGCCAAAGCCCATCTCCCACCTGAGCCACCTGGAAACTGGAATTACAGCGGATGGCTGCCGAGTTAGTCACTGCCCTCCTCCTCCAGGGAGGATTCCTCTGGAACCCCGCGCCACCACCACTCCTCCTGCCTGCTCTGCCTCAGGAGTCTCAACCTTCAGATGGGACACCAGATGCTCCTGACACTGCTCAGATTTCCATCCCCCCACCCCATACACACACACACACACACACACACACACTCCCTCAAAGGCTCCTAATGACTCTGAGGAACATTCTTCACCTTGAATTCAGCTCATCTATTTGCCTCTAACATCAAACCCAGAAACCCTGAGCATGGAAAGATGCGATTCTGTCCAACCCGTGTCTTCTTTGTATTCTAGTCTATGTACCTCCCACCCACGGCAGGTCTCACTGAATCACACCTGAGTCACTGTCGGTGGCCCTCAGCCTTCCCATATGTATGTTAGTCCCTTTTGCTTTCCTTTCTCCCTCTATACATTCTCCTTCCTGTAAGCACAATCCTTCTCTCTTATTTCTCCATCGCCCCAGGTTAAGGCTTGATTTGCTCTGACACCCCTTGAAGCATTCCAGTTCTAAGGCACCTGAAGGCAAAAAAAAATTCCTGGAATTCTCTCTCTCTCTCTCTCTCTCTCTCTCTCTCTCACACACACACACACACACACACACACACACACACACACAACACACACACCTCCTCATGCTAACCCAGCTCCTAGCTTTAAACATCCTTCACCATAAAAGGTTATATCAGAAACCTACATAGTTTAGTTCCAACGTTTGAGCCTAATAGTGTCCTCCAAGCATTGCATTATTTTCTTTGTTAGTTTTTCTGAGCAAACGGCAGTCATAGAGTTTGCTTCAGAATCTCATGTTGGAAAACACTGTCCCTCCTAATCGAACTTCACCTTAAACGGACCATGCTCACAGAGCAAAAGGAATTCTAAAGGAAAGGGAAAGACATGCCGCCTAATTCTCAGCCTCAGTAACCAGCACCACCAAAAACTCTTACTCTTTACCTCAAACTTGAGGGGTCAACACGTTTTGCTTTGTTTCAGCTTAGGAATGCCCGATAATGCAAGCGTTAAGTTTACTTACCTGGAAAACCTAAAACGATAAAGAACTTTAGAGGTTAATTAATCTATTGAATCCCAAGTATAAACGAACATCAGAACCACCCGAGGAATTATTATTTTAAACAATGCATGATCCCCTTAGACATGCCTTAGCCATTCCAATGCAGACTTCTGGTGCAGCCCTAGAATCCATGTTTACAATAAGCACTCTGGGTAAGTAGGATATAGCAGGCCCTGGTCTGTTGAAGCAACTGGTTTATTCCAACATCCCACCCCCCATGACAGTCTCCTCCGTGGAACCTCACATCACCACCTGCTCTGTGCCAGCAATTCCGATGCCAGGGACCTAGCCCGTCTATATGTCTGCTTGCTCTGCGTTTTTAGGGGCTTAACCATTAGAAGCCAGCCATGTTCTTATGTTGAGTCAAGTAACCAAAGCCTTTCAATTCCTTGAACTTCACTATCAGCCCTAATTTTGTGTTCCAGAACGGACACAGAATTCCTCCCCAAAAGTCTTCATATATCCCAGGGCAGCCACCACACCCTCACAAGTCTTCATTTTTCCAAACAAACTGATTTAACTTTTTTAAAATATATATATATATATTTTCTTGATTTTTTTTACAGAGAGGAATAGAGTTAGAAACATCGATGAGAGAGAATCATCGATCAGCTGCCTCTTGCACACTCCCTACTGGGGATGTGCCCGCAACCAAGGTACATGCCCTTGACCGGAATCGAACCTGGGACCTTTCAGTCCACAGGCCTACGCTCTATCCACTGAACCAAACCAGTTTTGGCGTGATTTCTTTAACTTCTTAAAGCACAATGCCCGAGTCCCCCGCCATTTCAACTGCTCTTCTGAAGCAACAGACCTAACAGAGTAAGTCTGTCTAAAGTAGCAGCACTTCTGCCGAAGCCAGTTTGGCTCAGTGGTAGAGCATCAGTCTGCGGATTGAAAGGTCCCAGGTTCGATTCCGGTCAAGGGCATGTACATTGGTTGCGGGCACATCCCCAGTAGGGGGTGTGCAAGAGGCAGTTGGTCGATGTTTCTCTCTCATTGACATTTCTAGCTCTCTATTCCTCTCCTTTCCTCTCTGTAAAAAATTAATAAAGTATATTAAAAAAAATAAATAAATAAAGTAGCAGCACTTCGTTTTTTTCTCACGGATGACTTCTTTCAATAGGCATTAATTTATAGCCCGTGTTTCAGTCTTGTTACTCATTGCCTTGTAGTTAATGGTCTGAGAACCACGATCAGCAAGTACTTATTAACCCAATGCTATCTTCCAAACTGTGTAAGTACTCAGTAAGGATTCATAAGCCAGCAGGATTCGTCCACATTTGAGGCGTAAATCACTTCTTGTACAGAAAGGGCTTAGCCCTAGCCGGTTTGGCTCAGTGGATTGAGTGTTGGCCTGTGGACTGAAGGGTCCCAGGTTCGATTCTGATCTAGGGCACGTGCCCAGATTGTGGGCTCGACCCCCGGTAGGGGACAGGGAATCAATGACTCTCTCTTAACATTGATGTTTCTCTCTCTCTCTCTCCCTCTCTGAAATCAATAAAAAACATATTTTCAAAAAAGGACTTAGATAAGTGAAATAACTTGAAAACAATGGATGGCAGTATACAACCAAATACTTCAAAGGAATGGCACCTGAAAGATTGAACACAGGTTTCCTGGGTCAGACTGGGAGCTATCTCATGCCCTCTATTTACATAAAAACCACCTAATTTAACAAGTTTTTTATTTTAAAAAAAATGATGGAAGCCATTACCTCAAAATGCACATATAAAAATGTCAAGTACATTCTATTTCAGAAAGTTAAAATCTAAGAAACCACACATGCACGCACGAGTTGATTGCCACTTGCTCCTTTGTCTCAGCATGTCACTGGCCCTGCCGCCCACGCACTCGGAATGCCATGATCCGGGGAAAAGGCGACAATCAGAGAGTTCAAGCAATTCCTTTTATTACTGCAAATAACCACTGGACGAGATAGCCCCCAAGAGGGCGTTTTAATGGAAAACTCTTACCAATAAGTGAGCTGTACCACCACCAACAAAAATGCATTCGTGTCATTCATAGAATCACAGACTATCAGAACTTGAGGAATTATCCAAATCCCTCTCATGAGGAGAAATATCACTCCAAAGACGGCAGGTGATTCTCTCCAAGGCTAAGCAGCCAATGAGCAGGAGGAAGGGACCAATCCCCGGGTGGGTCTCCCCTCTTGTCAATCAAAACTCTTGTCCCTCCATGTTTTCCTCAATTCTACTCCCACCTCCCCTTACCTTGCCAACCCTCAAATCCAAAGTCTGAAGGCACATTTTGTTTGGGGACATTGTGAGCGAAGGCATGGACTACCCAGTAAGTAGGAGGTCCATTTTTCAATTAGATTCTAGCCTATTTACCCCACAGCGCCCAATGACACGAACTTCTACCTGACTCAGCATCACTGCTGTCTTATGAGCATTGTAGGGGACAGTTGAGTCAGAGTTAGCAACATGAATTCAAACAAATATTCTAAAGCTGAAAAGCAACTGGAGAAGAATCCCCATCTACTGCCCATCGAACACACTCACACATGTACACACACACATACACACATGCACACACACGTACGCACACACGCGCACACACCCACACACCCACATGCACACACGCACACGCAGCCACGTGCACACACACATACACGCACACATGCACACACGTGCGCACACATACACGTGCACACGTGTACACACGCCCACACGCACATACACACATGCACACACGCACACGTGCACACACGCACACGTGCACACACGCATACACACCCTAGATGAACCAGCTCATGTCCTTCATCAGAAGCCTCGCCACTGGTCCACGCCCTGACACGGAATGCGGGGAGGAGCATGCACCTACCTCGTGGCCTCCTGCTGAAGCCATGACACATTTGGCACGTAGAACATGACTCCGAAGAAAAGCAGAGGCTCGTTAGCGAACTTGTCCAGATGTTTCTTCAGCGGTTTCTCCAGCTCCACCCATCGTGCTTGCTGGCTCTTGCTGAGAAACCAGAGGCCAAAGTAGTGTGTCTAGATAAAAGGGCAAAACAACATCAGTTCACACTGGTGAGGGCCCTCCCCAGACCACACACGGAACGGGGCTCCCAGCCTCCCAGCCCCCGAGGCGCCCGGCCCATACACAGGCACTCAGCTGTCACTTTCTAACGCTGGAAGGACTTAAGCAAAAGAAACCACGTGTACACAGGGATTGTGATCAGCGCTGAGTATCCAGAGGCAGGATCCACACCCATTGCTGCTGTTTGCCTGGGTGCATGCCGATGCACCCGTGTCAGGGGGAGGGGGTGGTGCAGGGTGGGGACCTCGCCGGCTTTTTCCTTAGATCTCCAGGCTGACGTCCCCGTGGCTCCTGGGGCCCCGTGCTCTCACACGGAATGGGCCGGCCAAGGCAAGCACAGGCCTTGCACCTGCTGCAAAGGAACCATGACTCAACTCCTAGGACAAGGTCTTCTGCCAACGGCCAGCTTCCACCGCATGGAACATTGTCATCCAGTCCCAGATTTAAAAAAAATATATATATTTTATTGATTTTTTTACAGAGAGGAAGAGAAAGGGATAGAGAGCTAGAAACATGGATGAGAGAGAAACATCATCCAGCTGGCCTCCTGCACACCCCCTACTGGGGATGTGCCCGCAACCAAGGTACATGCCCTGAATAGGAACTGAATCCGGGACCTCTCAGTCCTCCGGCCGACGCTCTATCCACTGAGCCAATCCAGTTTTGGCCAGACCCAGATTTTAACTGAAAATGGATTCATTCCTTTGGAGCTTCACTAGAGTCCTTTAAACCACACTGCCTGGACCACTTCATTCTACGTGAACCGAAGCAAATCTCTCCCCCGCATCAAGCGGGATCTCCTCTTTGCAGCTGCCAGGGGCCCCAGTGGCTGTTCCTGGCCCATTATGGTGGGATTTGATGGATGAAAGTGAGGTTTGTCACTCTCGGACGTGAAGCCTCACCCAGTTTGGTTGTGAATGATGTGCCTGATGATGAAAACGGGTGCTTTCAGGCATCCGATCCTGCCTTCATATTAATTGATGCTAAGATTTCAGGATTAGCACAACAATTGCCAAAAAAAAACAACAACAACAAAAAAAAAACACCCAGATCACTGCTTTTGAAGCCTTCTTTTCTATTTCAATCACAGTCTCAAACGCTGTGCAGCACACCTGGAAACCTGCCTTCAAAAGAATGCTTTTCAGGACAATGCTTCTTTTCCAAAGGCATTCCTGGGCAGATGTTCCCCTGCCAGCTGGCTGCCCCTCCTCCTCTTCCTCCTCCACACTGCGGCTCACCAGGGCCACAGCGCTACCCAGGCCTGCAGACTCTGACTTTACTGGAAAGCCAGACCTCGCCTCGCCTCCCTACAGCTAGAGACCCAAAACCTCCACAGGGTGTTGTTAAACGATACTTTCAGATGGGAGCGGTGATTTGATCCACTTCCCTCCACGAGGTCCCCAAGGGCAAGTTCACACCAGAAGTCCATGCATTTCTCACACAAGGAAATGCCAACAAACAGAGCCAGAGCCAAGGTTCTATGTCTATCTGCTCAGACAAACTGGCTGGAGTGAATTCCGACCCTATTGTTCCTCTCCCAGCTCCGGGGAGTCCGTGAGCGGTTCCAGGGTGACCCATGACGGGTGAGGGAGAGGAAGTGAAGAAAACAGGCTCTGAGGTCACTCATCTCCCAGGGACTCACTGCCTCAGGGACTGTGGCCGAGCTACGACGCCTCCTCCCGTCTCAAACTTCCTCATCTGTAAAATGGGGGTGCTGAGAAGCCTATCGCCCACAGGCTCCTCGGGTGTCAGTGCGGTGATGCCGATCAACCGTGCATGGAGGTGGGGAGGAGGGACCTGCTGAGTAACCGCTTCATAAATGGGGTCTCCTGCTGCTGCGGATGCTACTTCCACCATCAGCTTCCCTGGGAAGTAAAGCAGGCGAGCCTCAAGAACCTTGTTCCTCAGCGCGACCAGCTACCCCATGAACCTGGACCAGAAAACAGCAGTTGCCTGAACTAAAATTAGAGAAAAGGCAAGCCAACGTCAAAGCTGGAAAGCCTGCCGGTCAATCACACAAAAGTCTCAAAGAGCCCTGGCCCCCGTGTGGCTCAGGGATTTGGGTTTCATCCTGTGCACCAAGAGATTGCCAGCTCCATTCCCAGTCCGGGCACGTGCCCGGGTTTCAGGCTTCAGAGGCAGCCTCATTCACACATCGATGTTTCTCTCGCTCTCCCTTTCTCTTCCTCTTTCTCTAAAATCATTAAACACAAAATAAAATAAAATAAAATAAAATAAAATAAATAAAATAAAATAAAATGGAGAAAAAATAGTCACAGAGCAATGCCTCCCACAGGACTTCCTGAGAGTCTCCTTACAGATGTTGGGGGGACCTGGGCACCTCACTCAGATGCTGTCCTGGAGGATCTATGATGGAGGCTCGGGTGAATCTTGAAGCGAGGTAACCTGGGTACTTAGTAAGCTGGGGAAGGGCCCAAGGCGGTTCTGCATTATACTAAAGTCCGTTAAGGAGTATAGGATCATAGAAGGGTCTTTTGGATGGCCAGCGGTGAGTTTGCATAGAATAAAGGAGGTAATACGGTATATGTAACCAGTAATGTGCTATGCAGTAAGTATTTTACTTGGAATAGAGCCCTTTATAAGCATTGGGTGGAGAAAGGGAGGACAAACTTTAGTTATTAAGCAGGCCGCCCATGATTTAGTGTCTTTTGCTCAAAGTAGTATTGACTTTCAGGGATATAATTTATGGGCCTCGCTTCATTCAGATGATAACACTCACTCAAATTAGTAACACCCAAATTATAAAGGGCCCTCAGTAACTGCATAAACAGTCTATGGTTGATTTTTCAAAGGAGAATTTTTTTTAAAATTTGTTTCCGGCTCCTGTGCTTTCATAAAGGCTAGTGTTTTAAATTTCCTTTTCTCGTTCCCATCCAGCCAATCATTAAACCAGACCTGATCTCCCCCCCACAAAAAAAAAAAAAATAGCCTGAGACAGAATATTCCATGGAGTACACATACACACCCACAGCCATGCACAGATAAACGCACACACAGGTGCGTACATTGAAAGGGGGGGTGGGGTGATGAGGTGCAAGAGAAATCATGGTAAGGTAACAGGGTTGAGCCATCATGGATAGCCCAGAACTCTAAATAAAGAGGCAAACCACTTCGAATACAAAAAAACACACACCCTAATTCACGGCCTAAGATTTGTGCTGTTGTTGCAACACTTCCTTTTCCATAGGACACAGCATATTTCAGGGTGACTCGTTATGCATTTACCCAATAAAAAAAAAATTACAGAAAACTACTCAACATACGGAGTTTCCAATGCAAGGTAGGGTTGGAGGAGACAGGTAACCTGCCAGATCCAGTTTCTACCTACTCAAAGCCACACAACCTAATTTCACAAGAGCCGAGTTCAACTGTCAAGTACAAAGCAAGTCCATTCATGAGCTCCCCATCCATACATACACCGTTCTGTGAAGCTATGCCCAAAGTAACCTTCCCCATGCCCACGCCAGCCGTCGTTCCTATGCCAGCTGTGCTCTGGGGTCTCCAAATTCCTAACCAGCTCTCATCAAGTTTGCAATGCAGCCCTGGTGTACTCTTCCGCCATGTGTACACAGGGAAATGGAATCAGAACCTAACAGCTCACTTAAATGAACATGTGCGCCAACCGACTTCCGGTGTGTTAGCCAAGGGACCACGCAACCCCTCGGGCCCAGCTGGGACCACAGCGGACTGGCCAACTTAAACTCCAGCTGAATCCTGGAAGCTGGGCCTCCCTGCTAACCATCGCCAAGCGGTTGGGGAGAATGCGTGGATGACTCTGAATAGAAACCAGCTCCTCCGTGATCAAAAGGACGCGCGGTGTTTCCCCGAGTAAACGCCGGGAATGCTTGATTGGTTATCTTGGAGGCACCCAACCTTAGCCAGGTCCACCTCCTCCTCACCATACCTCCTGGGGAGCTGTCAATCCCTTTTTATTCCTCTCGTTTTCTTGGAAAAACAGCTCAAGTGTGCTGAATTCTGCAATGAGTTCGTTAAAAATGATGAGGAAAGAGGACAGGAGAACCAGTGCCCAAGGAGTTACTAAAAATGCACCACTAAGAAACAACTTAATTTTGCTATTTTCATCATGGCTGGAGTTTATAAAGATATGGGATCTTACTATGCATTTCCTATCATCCAAGAAAAGCTAACTTGCTTTAAGGATATCATTAAATCAGTTACTAAAAATGCACCACGCTAAGAAACAACACAGGGAGCCACATACTCATTTTCATGAGTAGTTTCCTGGTTTGCTTGGCTTGGAGCTTTGCATTGGAACAGAGGAAGCAAACGTATTATATATGCAGGCACTCAAAAATGTTAGCCTCTTCAGTGACTATTTTGGTGTTAAAGGAAGGTCTCTCTTTTGGTATCATGAAAAGACTCTAGTGAGTCATGGTCTTTCAAAAACAGTCCAGAGCACTGTTTTGTGTGTTTTTTTAAATACTGATGTTTCATTGATTTTTAGAAAGAGAAGAAGAAAAAGGAGAGAGGGAGAGAGAGAGAGAAACATCAATGTGAAAGAAAAACATCAATCATTTGCCTCTGATGTGTGTACTCCCACTGAGGACCCGGATATGTGCCCTGACAAAGAATCGAACCTGGGATCTTTGGGTGCAGGGCATGACATTCAACCAACTGAGCCACGCCAGCCAGGGCCACTCTGGAGCATTTTCTTATTCGTTTGTTCATTTATTTGTAGAGATGGTTGTTATCCTCCTCCCCTGCCACATTGGCTATCAATAGGAAGAGATTTCTTGAAGGTTGGTGTGTGTGTGTTTTTTCTAATTTTGCGACCAGTGGCACAGCTTTAATGCTATTTGTAGGGGTTAGAGACACGGTCGTGGCAATTACTAGGGATTAAGTCCATGATCTTATCTCAAGCATTCTGAAGAGTTAATCATCCAGAAGCAAAAGTTTAACATTTCTTGCACGA